GAAGTTAAAACAGAACTCAGTATCCCTAATTATTAGCAGGTAAGCAGAAATGAGGACAGGCGATGGAGAAAATTAGAGGCAATTAAAATCAAATTAACTCAAAAAAAAGGAGGGAAGATTACCAATTAAAGACAACAATCATTTTTCTCTGAATTTAAAGACCAAGGTGAAATAATTAATGTGAATAATGAGTAGGCGGTTTTAAATAGCGGGGTTTCAGGGCTACCTTCTGTTTTTGCTTCTGTAGTGCAGCCTCCAGAGTTTCAAGCTGAAACTGCCTTTGCTGCCTTTCTTTCTTCAGTTTGTCGAGCTGTCCTTCAAGCTCTTGAACTTTCTGCAGAGCTCTTGTAGGCAGGCCTTCTTTCCATTCTTCCAAAGCCCAGCTCATTTTGTTCTCCCTTCTTTATTATTCCAACATGTATAAATAAACTGAAAAGAATAACAAGACTGTTGGCTTTACTATAGTAAAAGGAAACTTAAAGTCTCAGAGGCTAAAGAGTCCACATAATCACCTCTAAAAATCAAGTTTCAAAACTTCACATTTCAAAAGATACAGGACGATGTCTATCTTCTCCACCCTTTTTAAGGTGACTACCATTAACTCTGATTATGACAGAATGCTTGTTTGGTTTCCCCTCGCTTTCTGTTTTTCTTATTTGTTTTGACTTCTTATAAGGGTACCTGCTTTCTACTACTCAGTTCGTTTTATTATACAAAACATGAATATTTTGTTAGAAGGTTTACAGGTGAAATAGGTCCTATAAACAAATAAAATGCATGACAAGTTATTTTGCAGATGCTCTTCTTTCTCCTCTTCACATCATTAATTACACTTATATGTGTCCTTCTTCCTCTGGAAAACCTTCTGACATCCCTGAATGGCCATATCTCCCTGGCATAGTCTTTCATGGCACAGGTACCCACTTTCCTTCCAAGTAGTTACCATGTGTTGAATTCATGCGTGAATAAACAAAGAGTGAATGTCACGTTTGTACTAGAATCATCCCAAAAGGTAAAGTCATGCTGCAGATAGACCATGACCAGGAAACAGGTTTAAAGCCTTAGCGATTCAAAAAAGATTCAAATCCCAGCTCAGTCATAAGATGTGTGACCTTGGGCAAGATATTTAACTGTTCTGTGCCTTGGTTTCCTCACCTGTAAAATAGCGAAAATAATAGTGACAACTTTCTAAAGCCTTAGAACAGTATCTCCTGATAAGCTTTCTAAATATGCTTGCTATTATATCAGTTCCTGAAAACACTTTTAGTTGTGTATTTCAGGCTATGGTAGAAAAGGTAAAGTTGCCTACCCCACCTGAGCCACATCTTAGGAAATATAAATCAGCTGGGAGAAAAGTATGCCACTTGTTCTTTATTTTAGTCTTTAGGACGTAAATGAAAGAAAAGGCATTCATTTTCCAGTTATTTTGGCAAAAGGGTGAGAATTTGTTTTTTACTAAATAAAGTTCACAATCATTTTAGTGTTTTGTTTCAATTGACTTTATAAATAAAAATTTTTATTAGAACTAAAACAGTTGATAAAAGTACTGAGAACAAGAAAAAGACTTTTAAAAATTAAGGAGAGGCAAACGTCTTGGACAACATACAAGTTAGAAAGCTACATTCTCTGGGGGCCGGCCCGGTGGTGCACTGCTACAGTGCGCCGCTTGAGAGCGTGGCGGGGCGAGGGTTCGGATTCCACGTACAGACCGGCTGCTTGGCTGAGCGAGGTGCGGGCGCAACACCAAGGGTTGCAATCCCGTTGCCGGTCACGAAAAAAGACAAAAAG